GAAGAGAAGTGATCAGAAGCAGATTATGAAGGTGAAGAGAAGTGATCAGAAGCTAATGAGGTGAAGAGAAGTGATCAGAAGCAGATTATGAAGGTAGGGCTAATAGGAGCTGCCAATGACTTGTACTCGGAATGACAGAGAAGAGTCATGAACTATGCCTAGTCTTAAGCCTGAGTAATGTGGTTAATGGTGGCTTCATGAAATAGGGAAGACTGAAAGGAGCCGATTTGGGTTATTATAGGGGTAAGTGCAGTGGAGATGAGACATCAATGGTTTGGACTTAGATGTAATGAGAATTTGAATTAGAATGGTTAGTTAATTCAAATAATTTGTTGTTGCCACGCGTGTGTGTATGTGGGGGTTTTTTGTGGCTTTGTTGTTGTTGTTGCTGTTGCTGTGAGACAGGGTCTCACTCTGGTTGCCTAGACTGGAGTGCAATGGCATCATCTTGGCTCACTGAAGCCTTGACCTCCCAGGCTCAGGTGATTCTCCCACCTCTGAAGTAGCTGGGATTACAGGTGTGCATGACCACACCCAGCTAATTTTTTTTTTTTTTTTTTAATTTTAAGTAGAGGTAGAGGCGGGGCTTTGCTCTGTTGTCTCGAACTCCTGGAGTCAAGCAATCCACCCACCTCAGCCCCCCAAGTGCTAAGATTACAGGCAGGAGCCACCACACCTGGCAAGTTGTATATAATTTTTTACGTTTGCTTAAGTTATCCAGGAAATTCAATCTTTACCTCATAAAGATTGTCTATCTAATGAAGCCACTATGTAAGAGATATTCAAGGTAGAGGAGGCAATGTTATACAACTGCCTTAGCATATAATTTCACATAAAACATTCAAATTATAATATACCATGAAATAGAAGAAACAAATATATATGAATTGCTTTGTGCTAATAAGGACATTGGTGTGAAGTGATCAGATTTCAGGGTATACCTTATGCTAACAAGCCTTACAGAGAAATAGTCTATTTGTAGGTTGTATATGTAATGTGAATAACCAATAAAAACTTTCTTGGTAAGATCAAAACATGGAGCTCTGAAATTATTTATTTTTCTTTTCCAAAGTTCTTTGTGTATAAATCAGATCTTGAGGACGACTCAGGAAAATTGGACTCAGAATCTCAGACCTCCTTTAAAACAGACCATGATGTTATGTTCAGCCCAAGTAGAGCTGATAAAATCTGGTGTCCTTGGAATAGGCCCAGAAGCTGACTAACTTCCAGGAGTAGAAGGATTGAATCTCTAATTTTGGGAAATGATAAACTACAGAGAAACCACTATCCTCTCCCAGAAAGTACTCTTAAGAGAATATTAAGCTGGTTAATCTATTGGACTTATCTCTTTTCTGATTACATACAGTAAGTCTCCCAGTCAGAATAAAATTCTTTCAGTCTCAAACTAAAGTAGAATCATAATAGAATACATTAAGGAATAAAGTTTTTAAATTTACATTTTTGTTTCAGCAATCCTCTAAATAAAATGTAATAAGCATTTAGTATTAGCAAATCCTTTGAGGGCAGGGACCTTGTTTGTGTCACTCATTACTATATTCCTAGCATAAGCATAGTGTGGGTACTCTGATAATTTTCTAGATGAATATGTATATTAGTGAGACTTCATAGTAGAAAGCATGGCTTATTTCATGTATTTTTTAATACATTTATTCACTAGAGGGTGCTGTGTAAGCATTCAGCACTTTAAAAGTGTCATCTCTTTCACTTGTACTTATTTGCAGGAAGATTGGATTTTTAAATCACCTGATTTAGCAAAAGCTTTCATTTCTTTTTCTTTATTTTCAAAGTAGTACTGGTGGTATTGTGTATGGTTAAATTAATGAAAATGAGAGATTAATGGCAGCATTAACACAAATGTTTCCTTTTTTCCTCCTCCTTAGGAGACTTATGACCCCAATCATGTATGCTGCTCGAGATGGTCACACCCAGGTTGTTGCTCTCCTTGTTGCTCATGGAGCAGAAGTTAATACCCAGGATGAGAATGGTTACACTGTGAGAAACATTTTTACAATTTTTCTTTTTGTTTCTGTTATTATCAGTAATCTATTTAAAAAAAATAGTTTTAAGAAGTAATAATTACAAAAGGGCTGGAATATAATTGCTATCTGGTGAAAAAAAGCAACAGTTGAAATAAAAGGCTGGCATAGTGGCTGACGCCTGTAATCCTTGCACTTTGGGAGGCCAAGGGGGGCAGATCACCTGAGGTTAGGAGTTTGAGACCAGCCTGGCCAACATGGTGAAACCTGGTCTCTCCTAAAAATACAAAAAATTAGCCAGGCATGGTGGCACGCGCCTTTAATCCCAGCTACTCAGGAGGCTGAGCCTGGAGAATCGCTTGAGCCCAGGAGACAGAGGTTGCAATAAGCCGAGATCATACCACTGCACTTCAGGCTGAAGTGCAACAAGAGCGAAACTCCATCTCAAAAAAAGAGGAATTAATTGACTCTCTTAGTCCTTACTCTTGATTAAAAAAAAAATTGTAACACACAGCAAAATCTGGGCTCTAAAATATACCTAAGAATTCTTTTTTGTAGAAAACTGGTGATTGGCAAATAAATCCTTTTATTCCATAACATCAGTTAATTGTATAAAACACTGGTTTTAAAAAATCAATGAGCTTTGCAGTCAGCTTTGCAATTACAACTTTGGAAATATGTTTACATTATATTGTAAAATCAAGAGATTGCATCATTCTATTAATTAACTATGTTCTCTTTTTTATTGTGTCATAAATACTGTTAAAAACTTTTCCTGTCTGTCTCATATACACTCCTTCTCTTTAAACAATCTTGTTTTTCCCCCCACTTACAGGCTTTAACATGGGCAGCACGTCAGGGTCATAAAAATATAGTTTTGAAGTTGCTTGAACTTGGAGCTAATAAAATGCTACAAACCAAAGATGGAAAGATGCCAAGTGAGATTGCAAAAAGAAACAAACATCATGAGGTATCCTTCTGTACATATTAAACTTATTTTTTGTGGCATGTCACATTATCATTTGTAGAACCTTTTTATTAATTTGTTAGAATTTACAAGGGTAATTATAGTGTATCTGGCAATTATTAAATGTTTAAATATGTATCTTTCCTCCAGCCAGGTAATGAGAACTTTATTTTGCTAGAGTATTCATCTTCGATGAAACAAGAGGCACTTATAATACAGTAATTTAAAAGCTCTATAAAAGAGTAATAAAATTTTATTCTGGCCCCAGGAATAAAATTGTAATATACTATTTAAACATTTCAAACTGGTCCAGAATTTTAAGTTATTGAGTGAAAGCTAGTAAAATGCCAGTTGGAACTTGTAACTAAAACATTCTTTTGTAAGTTTAATTAATATATTAAACAATTTAAAAATTAAATTATTTAAGCAACATTTACTCTTATATGTGTTACAGGGCATACGATAAAGTGATAATATACCTGGATGTATAATCTAACATTTAGATGTTAAGCTCAATAATAAATACTTGCCATACATTAAATTACTTTATCAATATAAACTTTTGGTCTGAAGATTAAAGCCGTAGCCACAAGTCTGTAACTTGTAAGCAAGGATCAAATATAGTACAATAATAAAACTAAGTTGTTTAGTCCGGGAGTTTGTAACACTGAGTTCCTGAATTTGAAAGCATGTAAAATTCCAAAGATTCCGTCATGTAATCATCAAACCAAGCCACATTTACTGCATATAAAGTAACTTCCTCTAACCTTTTAAGCAGTCTGATAAACATGGCTATCATTTTCCAAGTATTATTCTAATATTTTCAGAATTATTATAGGGTAAACAGTAATCACTAAAGCCCTGTAGAACTTCAAAAAGGAATTTACAATTTTTCTTCTAAACTTTGAAAATTCAAAAACTTAAAATTATTTTATTACATTGTTAAATGTAGAGTAGATGACACCAAACTTGACATAAGAAGTTTATGAACATCAAAGGTTATTTTGAGTCATAAATCATTTATTGAAATGAGATTTGATCTTGTATTTTGGCTGATTACATGATATAACCTTGACTTCCTAAGAAGTTAGATTTTAAAACTCAGGAATGTCACCATGTATTTTTGAGGTGTTCAGTTAGGATTTGTATACATTTAGTCACGCTCATTACTCTCTTCCCACTTAGCAATGTTTTCAAAGTACTATCTTAATATTTAACCTGAGTCATTTATCCAAATGGAATTTTTAGTTTTGCTATAGATCTTACCAAAAATAGTAATTACTATCTTACTTTAATTTTTACTCTTTTGAATTAGATGTACTTTTTTCTTTTCTGATTATTATTATAGGTCAAGGAAGCACTTACCTGATATCCCAATTACCCTGATTTGTTTATTATACATTGTATATGTGTATCAAAATACCACATGTACCCCCCAAAATATGTACAACTGTGATATATCAATTTTTTAAAGTTGTTATCAGGGTAGTAAATTGTGAAACTTCTGTCCCACTTACTTGCTAAAATTTCTGGATATGAGATAATCGTATGTTTGGTTTCTTTTAACTCTAAGTTATAGTATGCAATGTTAATTATATTTGAATGATGTTAACTTTTTTCAGATCTTCAACTTACTTTCTTTTACTTTAAATCCATTGGAAGGAAAACTTCAACAGCTAACTAAAGAAGACACTATTTGTAAAATATTGACAACAGATTCTGATAGAGAAAAAGATCACATTTTTAGGTAATATAGCATGTTTTAGTTCAACAGAATACCTATAAGTAAAACTTGTGTATATTTTACTGTAGTAAATGTGGTGACTTATTTAAAATATATGGTATTTTAAATGTTTACAAGCATTTTTAAATGTCTGGGTTTTTAATGTTCTCCAGAATTTTAGAAAATTTTTATTCATTTTTATGTACTAACACTAATGATAATAACTTTAAATGTAAACTTGAAGTACGATATCAACAATAAAATCTATTTTTAAATGTTCTGAGATTATATTAGTATTCAAACAGTATTACACCTTGTTTTCTAATTATTTTTAGTACAGTTCTAATTTTATATGCTAAAATTAAACATACACTTTCCCCCCAGAACACTGCTGTTCAGTACATGGCCAAAAATAATTATCTCCTTACCCCATTTAAAGTTATTTACATTTTACTTACTGCAATTAAAGAGGTGTGGTTCCCCCGCCACCCCGTTTTTTGTGGGTTTTTTTGCCTCAAACACCTGGGCTCAAGCAGTTCTCCCACCACAGCCTCCCAAGTAGCTTGGACTACAGGTGTATGCCACTGTGCCAGGCTGAGGAGATTTTTATGTGCAGAAATTTCACAAGGTGTACATACTGACATATATTTTCATTTTGGGGAAAGATGAGTTATACTCCTCATACACCTTCAGTCACAAAACCTTACTCATTCCTTTGATATAGCATAGGTCTGGTGTGCAGATTGCAAATATATGCTACATGAATTCATCATTATTTGTATTCTCTTGCAATATAAATATATATTTATTTGTGCATTTATAGTCTGTTCTGAAATTGACATTGCTATAAATGTATACAGTTCATATACAGCATTTGGAGATCTGGAAGTATTTTTACATGGTATTGGACTTGAACATATGACAGATTTACTAAAGGTAAGATCTTATATAACCTACAGTGACTTATGCATATACGTTAGTTTGTTGGTTACTGTAACATTAGATATTAATTCATAAACTTGTCTATAAATAACTGCCTATTCACTTTTCTCCGTAATTTGTAGTACATCCCGATGTTAAATTTGAAACAAACATTTCATAATTAGAAATTTTCATAAATTAGAATCTGAGATTAAACAGTTTTTACCCATTGTCTAACCTTCATATACACCTGAGCCCTTAGTTTGTTTCTGTAGTTGCTCATCTTCATGAGTAGAATATTGGAAGAGCATGATATTAAACCAAACACACCTGGTATTAGATTCTTGCTCTGATGTTTAATCACTGAAATATGTGACTTAAATATCTCATTTGCTTCATAAGGATAATAATACCTAGTGTAGGGTTGTCATGAAGGTTAAATCAGATCATATGCCAAGGACTGTCTGGGTGTTTTAAGCATACATTATGGGGTTTTGAGTCCATGACAGTTATTATCAGCTAGGTGGGGATACTGAAGCAGTAAAGTGCTATTTAAGATAGACTCCTCTTTGGAGTGTGCACATTCTGTTAAAATATTTCAGAGTTGGGCTTCATTGTATAATCTTCAAATGTCTCCCTATTTGGAGAAATCTTGAATAAAACTACCTGATGGTTTAATGTGATACAGTCAGAAATTTAAAATATTCATAAAACATAATTTCTGCCAAATTTTATAGAACTGCTTTTCTTTTAATGTAAGCAAATATGAATAGTAATCATTTGAATCTGAAAACCTAGCTATGTTTATACTTTTTAGGTGAATAGTTATTATGATACTCATTACTGTCTACTTAATATTATAGTTCTATATCTACATATCCTGTTCCCTCTAGAAAACTGGAATTTGCTTGAGAGTGAAGCAAGTAACTAACTTATGAACACTTGCCTACTTCTCCTTCTACTATTTTAATTATATGGAAAGGTGGCCTTTTTTTTCCTTTTATACAGGAAAGGGATATAACATTAAGACACCTTTTGACCATGAGGGAAGATGAATTTACAAAGGTTAGTATCAGTTTCAGAAATTCCTGATATATTGTTTGATGTTTTTAAAATTATGGATCCTTTTCTCTTTAAAATACTAGGGCTACAGACAAAAGATTGCTCTTTTACTGTGTCCTTGATTAGATATGATTACGCATAACCATATCTAAAGTCTTGTGTTAGTGTTAAGTTACTTTAAGAACACATAATGACTTACAGTTTGGGTTGTTTGTTTTTTTTTTTTCAGATTGTCATGACATCTGAACTAAAACTGATCCTTTAGTTTCAAATGTGAAATAGATTTGTAAACTGGGGCACTTACAAATAAGAGATTGTTTTTCTATGTGTATGGGTATTAACATATGTCTCCCAAGCCTTTTTGGTTCTCAAAACTATTGAGACCTTTTATTTTGCCATCTAGTATTACCTAATAACATATAGCTGTGGGATGTGTTAGAGACACCTTGATAAATACGATATGTAAAAAGCAATGATCTGAGTGCACGACCACATGGGAAACTTGAAATTTTTAATATCACTAAAAATAAATAAGCATACTACAAAGCTAACTCCAGTATAGAAAATTTAGTTTAACACTAAAGGTAGAATACAAACAAAGATAGGACTTGATTCTCATTTATCACTGATTTTTAAATGAAAATTTGAAGGCAATTTTGTTTTACTATGTTTTTTGAAGTATTACAAATATTAAGTTCTAGTAATTTGTTTTGGGAGTCCATCATAGTTGTTATGTATTGCAAAAAAATTGGCTATAGTTATTATATATCTAAATATTTTAATGCTGTAACTAACATCAATCACAGTTATAAGAAAAACATATATTTTTTTAGAAATGTGTTATTTTTCCACTGTATGCCTATTTTTTCAAGTTGTGAATTCATCAAGTAAGAAAGTATCTTCAGTGATTTTGAGTTTTAAATTATTCAAGTATAACTAATTTACTGTACCTTAAAACTATTTCTGCTTAGAATGGAATTACCAGTAAAGACCAGCAGAAAATTCTGGCTGCTCTTAAAGAACTACAGGTAGAAGAGATACAATTTGGAGAGTTATCTGAAGAGATAAAGTTAGAAATCAGGTAAAATTAACTTATTTGTTTACATTAATAGTGTTAAGAACCAATTGTTCTTTTTTAGTTTAATTTTCATAATGTCTGAGTCATTTTATTTGATATGATCATTTTCCCAGGGTAATAGATTTTGGAAGATACTGTGTTCTGAAATTGGATGTGCTTTGTAAAGTCAATTTTTATAAAGTCATTTACCAAGAAGCAAACAATGTGTCTTCTTGTTAACTCACATAGAAATATTTTTGTTTTATTTTTTCATTGCATCTTGCTAAATTGAACCTTATAAACAATCCCATGCTTTTTTATAGTATACCTTTAAAAATCATTTTAGAGGTTAAATTGAAAATTCAAAGTAATATTTTCACTTAGGTCAATAAGAAAACATTTCTTAGGTAGCTCAGTTCTATTTTCAGCCTTACTGTATAAGAAATTATGTTACCAAAATATAAACTTCATTTCCAATATTAAAAACTTGTCAAGCAATGGTTATTAATAATCCCAAATCTATTTTGAAAATAATATTTGATTTTATTAATATATTATACAGCAATAAGTGATTTTTTAAAATTTTTTGAAATATAGATTCTTGGGATATTTCAAAGAGATACACAGGGAAGTCCCATGCATTCTTTCCCTAGTTTTGCCCAGTATTAGTATCTTTTATAACTGTAGGACAATATCAAAACTAGAAAATTTACATTGGTACGACCCATAGAGCTTACTCATATTTTGTGAGTTATGCACTCATCTGTGTGTGTGTATATATATAATTTTATCACATTTATGGCTTCATGTAACTACTTCCATGTTCAATGTACTTAACACAGGGCTCTCTCACACTACCCCTTTATAGCCACGTCTAACCTTCTCCCCATACCAACCCCTAGCGACCAATAATTTGTTCTCCATTTTTTTAATGATGTTATTTCATGAATATTATATAAATAGAATCATACAGTATAAATCCTTTTGAGATTAACTTTTTTCAATCATCCTAATTTTCTTGAGGTTCATCAAAGTTGTTGCATGTGTCAGTACAATAGTTCATTCCTTTTTATTGCTGAGTAGTATTCCATGGTATGTATATACTACAGTTTGTTTAACCATTTATCCATTGAAGAACATTTGAATAGATTTTAGTTTTTAGCTATTCCAAATAAAACTGCTATGAACATTCATCTACAAGAGTCTATTAGAAAATACATTTTCTTTCTTTGGGATAAATGCTGAAGAGGACAATTGTTAGGTTGTACGGTGGTTGCATATTTAGTGTATTTTAAAACTGTCCAGCTGTTTTCCAGAATGACAGTACTGTTATATTTCCAGCAAGTGTATGAGTAATCCAGTTTGCTCTCCATCTTCCCCAGCATTTGGTGTTAGCATGATATTTTTTAGCTATTTCTGATGGGTATATAGTAATAGCTTGTTATGTTTTTACTTGCACTTACTAATGGCTAATGATGTAAACAGCTTTTTATATCTTATTTGCCATATGTGTACTTTTTGTGGTGAAATTCTAACAGTATCTTTTGCCAATTTTATGTTAGATTAATTGTTTTTTAATGTTGAGTTTTGGGAGTTATCTACATTCAAATCTTTTGTTGAATATGTGATTTGTAAATATTTTTCCCAACTCTGTAATTTTTCTTTTCATCCTCTTAATGGGGTCTTTCACAGAGCAAAAACTTTTATTTTGATGAGGTCTAAGTTACCAGATTTTCCCTTTACAGAACATTACTTTTGGTATATTTTTAGTATCAAGTTAAATAACAGTTTAAGAAATTAGGTCTCAAAGATTTTCTCCTATGCTTTTTTCATAGAAGTTTTATAGTTTTACATTTGAGTCCATGATACATTTTGAGAGTTCATTTTTGTAATGTTATGAAGTTTAGGCTGAGGTTCTTTTTTTTTTTTTTTTACCAGGGGATGGATAATTGCTCTAGCACTGTTTATTGAAAAGGCTGTTCCTCCCCCATTGAATTGCTTTTGATTATTTGTCAAAAATTAATTGGGCATATTTGTGTGGGTATAATCTGGGTTCTCTATTCTGGGTTCCTTATGTGTCTATCCCTCTGAAAGTACCACGTCTTGATTACTCTTAACTATATGGTAAGCCTTTATATCAGGAAGAGTGATTCCTCTCATTTTGTTCTTTTTCAAAATCATCTTGGCTATTCTAGAGCCTTTTTCTTTCCATATACATTTTAGATAAAGCTTTTCTATGTAAAGCTTTTTCTACAAAAAAAAACTTTCTGAGGTTGTGGTGGTAATTGTATGAATCCTATTGATTAATTTAGGTATAATTGACAGTTATGTCAATTATATGAATTCATAAACACATATATCTCTAAAAGTTTTAGGTTTTCTTTTTTAAAATATATATTTTGGGACCGGGTCTCACCCTGTCACCCAGTTTGGAGAGCAATGGCACAATGATGGATCATTGCAACCTCGAATTCCTGGGTTCAGATGATCCTCCCGCCTCAGCCTCCTGAGTAGGTGAGACCACTGGCATGTACCGCCATGCCTGGCTAATTTTTAAAATTTTTTGTAGAGACAGGGTTTCCATTTTGTTGTCACAGCTGGTCTCAAACTCCTAAGTTCAAGTGATCCTCCCACCTTGCCTCCCTAAGTAATGGGATTACAAACCTGAGCCACCATTTCTGACCTTCTTTGTTTTCTTTCATCAGCATTTTGTCATTTTCATTATACAGATTTCATGCATATTTTGTTAGATGTATACCTAAGTATTTTGTTTTCTTTGGCGCAATTGCCAATGGTATTTATCTTTTTATTTGTTTCCATGAGCAATTGATTTTTGTGTCTTGACTGTACATTTCAGCCTTACTGAACTCAGATATTAGTTGTAGGAGGTTTTTTGTAGAATGTTTGAGATTTTCTGTGTAGATAATCATGTAGTCTGCAAAAAAAGGTTAATTTTTTCCTTTCACATTTGTATGCCTTTTTTCTTCCCTCATGGCAGTGGGTAAGACTTCCAATATTATGTTGGATAGGAGTTGTAGATAGTGGACATTCTTGCCTTCTTCCCAATCTCAGAAGAAAACCATCCACTTTTTTAGTATTAATTAACTGTGATGTTAGCTATAGGTTTTTTTGTAGATTCTCTTTATGATATTGGGGAAGTTATGCTCTATTCATTTTTCTGAAAGTTTTTATCATGAATGATTGTTGAATTTTTTCAAATGCTTTTTCTATCCCAACTGATATGACCATGTGACTTTTTTCTTTAGCCTGTTGATATGGTTACTTTGTTAGATTTTTAACTATTGAACCAACGTTGCATATCTGGATTAATCCCATGTGGCTGTGGGTTATTATTCTTTTTATGCATTGTTGGATTTGATTTGCCAGTATTTTGCTAAGAATTTTTGTATCTAAGTTCTTGAGGAATATTGCTCTGTAAGTTTCTTTTTTGCGTTTTGTCTGGTTTTGGTATCAGGACAATACTGGCCTCACAAAAGGAATTGGGACTTATTCCCTCTCCTTTTATTTTTTGTAAAAGATTGTGTAGAATTGACATTAATTCTTCTTTAAACATTCTGTAGATTTCTCCAGTGAAACCATCTGGGCCTGAATATTTTGTGGGGGAAGCTTTTAAATTACAATTTGATTTATTTAAAGGTCATAGGATTATTCAAGTTATATCTATTTTAGTTTAGCTGAGTTTTGGTAATGTGTGGTTTTTCAAGGAATTGGTTCATTCTTTCTAATTGATGAAGCCAAAAGTTGCCCCTAGTATTTCCAGCTATTCTTTGAATGACTGTAGGATCTGTTATAATATCCCATTTCATTCTTGATATTGGTGATTTCCATCTTTTCTTTTTTTATCTCTGTTAGTCTTGCTAGAGGTTTATGCATTTGTTTTTCCAAAGAACCTGCTCTTTTATTTCAGTAACTTTTCTGTATTGTTCTTGCTTTTAGTGTCATTGATTTCTGCTGTAATTCTTACTATTTTCTTCCTTCTGCTTACTTTGAATTTATTTTGCTCTTTTTCTAGATTCTTGAGGCAGAAATCTAGATCATTTTTGAGACTTTCTTTTCTTATGTAAACATTTAGTCTTTTACATTTCCCTTTCAGCACTGCTTTAGTTGCATTCCACAAATTGTGATACGCTGTGTGATCATTTTCATTCACTTCTATGTATATTTTTATTTTCTTCGAGACTTCCTCTTTGACCCATGGATTATCTAAATAACCCATGGTGTATGGTGTTTAATGTCCACGTTTGGAGATTTTTCTGTTATCGATTTCCAGTTTGATTCTGTTATAGTCTGAGAATATACTCTATGATTTCAGGGGTTCAATAGCTACATGTGACTGGTGGCTAGATGGAGGAGATATAGAGAATTAAGATTTTAAAGACTTTGGCAGGTTGAAGCAAATCTCCCCAAAATTAATAGGGTTAACTTTAATAAGGATAAATGGAAAGTCCAAGATTAACTGTATTACTATAGGATGGGACTTAATATACATGAAGAATCACTAAGAGTTTTTAAGTTTATTATTAACTCAGTTTAGGTTAAAGTGTCACATGACTAGTCATGGAAAGCCAGCACTGTTAGGCTGCATTAATAGAAGTATAATGTCCAGAATAAATAAGATAACAGTTTTATTGTACATAATAGCTACTTCTAGAGGTTTTTGCTTATGGAAAGAATTTAACCATAGCATAGAATACAAACCCTGTAAGGTCTCTTCTGCCTTCTAGATTATATGATTGTCTTTTCAGTAATTTTCCCCTAGATTTTATAATCCGAAATAACCTATAATAATTGTTTTCATTCCACCAACTAGATAATTTTGAAATTATGTCACTTAGCAACACTACCTTATAACCAGCCTATGAAATTCTTTTTTCTTTTACAATGGCTTTCTCTCCCCAACTTTGAGGATTTGTGCACCAAATGTTTTTCCCCACCTTCTACCTCTCATTGCACTTGGTCAGGTTAATTACATTTTACCCAATCTCTTGCTCATGTAAGCTTCT